TTCCCTCTTCCTCCCAGAAGCCTTTCCTGTACACTCCAGCTCCAAACTAAAGCCAGTTTAGCCCAGATCAGAAAAGAGCTGAGGGCAGCCTACTCTTCCAGGCTCTGTAATAGATATGAGAAGTGGAAAGGACACTGGACGTGAAGCTATTTGGGCTGGTAGCCTAGTCTGTGCCCCAGACCCACAGGGAACTGAGGGTGGGTTTTAGGAACCTGGGCTAATGCTCCCAGGGGCCTGAGCCCTGAGTTGAAAAAAGTAAGGCCTGAGCCCTGGTAAGCACTGCTCAATTGGCCAAAGGTAAATCTGGTCTCTGGCAATGTCTCTGCTTACAGGGGTTCTAGGTCCCTTGAAGCTAGGAGTGTGGTAACAGAGTGAAGTCTAGATTCAGGTCCTGTTTCTGCACAGATGCCGGTTATTTTGGATAGGATACTACATCTTGCTAAGTCTCCATTTTCTCATGTGTAAAATGGTAATTGTCTCAGTTATTTGGAGGGTTGTTGTAAGGTACGTAAGATAATTTATGTAAAGTGTCTAATGCATCAAATTGTAGGTGTTTCAGAAATAGCAGCTCTTGTGTAGTATAAATAATAAGTAATAACAATCCCAAATCTCCAGCTCCACCAATTTCTGACTGTGCAACTTTGAACAAATCCCTCGTTAGTTCATCAGCTTCCTCACCTCTAAAGATTGTGGTTCATCCATTTATTCAATAGATAATCACTGAGCAACTTATTATGTGCTGGGCAAAACTAAATCTGTCATTTAGTGTTAATTAAAAGACACGGCACAGTGCCTGGCATATTACTAGGTGGTCAATAAACGCCTGTTTTCTTACAGAAGTTCCAGCTGGAGGATGGGAGATAGATGGAAGGCAGCAGGGGACAGGGTGAGGGACAGAAAAAGGGAACTTGGGAGGGGTACCATTGGAGCTTTGGGCCTCCCTTGAATTCCCAGCTCTCCCCTGGCCCTTGTCCCTTCCATTGATAGGGTCCCGCTTTGTCTCTAAGGGTGGAGGATAGTGCTGGGGTGTTGGAATAGTTTGCCCCTCTTTCTGCTCCTTGGTCCCATCAGACTTCTGTAGACCAGATGGTCTGTCCCTTGCCTGTAAAATGGAGATAATGAGGTCTCCTCACTCTCAGACATTGGAGACACTGCAATGTGCCCACCTTGTTCAAGTGTTATCAGCCTGAGGACCCCTCCTCACTCCTCCCATATTCCAGGGTGGTCTCCTCATCAAGCTCACTCCCTGTCTCATGCTCCTGGTTTTTTTCCCAGGGACCACAGGCTGGACTTACCACCACCTTTGGTTTCTCAGCACAGAAGCCCCACACCCCTTTGTTTTGACTTTACCCAGCTGCTGGGCCACATCAGGTCAGACACCCACAGAGGATTTGTGTGTATATGTGTGCACAAGCAACATGAGACCTAGCACTTAGTAGGTCTATAATAAAATCTAATTGAATGAACGCTCCCTCCACAAATGGAGCTCATTCATTCATTCAACAAACATTTATTGAACACATAATCCATTTGGTCAGGCACTGTGTCTAGAGCCATTAACAGTAGCCAAGCAGCCCTGGCCAGTTTGGCTCAGTGGTTAGAGCATTGGCCTGTGAACCAAAGGGTTGCAGGTTCGATTCCTTGTCAAGAGCATGTACCTGGGTTGCAGGTTCGATATCTGACCCCTGTTGGGGTCATGCGGGAGGCAACCAATTGATGTGTCTCTCTCACATCAGTGTTTCTCTCTCTCTCCTTCCTTCCCTTCCACTCTATCTAAAAATCAGTGGAAAAATATCCTTGGGTGGGGATTAACAACAACAACCACAGCAAAATAGTAGCCAAGCTTTCCAAAGACTGAATGGCATTCATAGGTTTCCTGCTTCCCACATCCCACCAAAGGCCCATCTGGATCTCAGACCCCAGCTGCTCCCTCACCCCCAAAGACCAAGGCATTGCCTCCACCATGGATATGACCATAGCATATGTTTGAGTGCCAAGTCACTGAGTTTGGGACCAATCCTGGTGCTATACCTATCCTGTGTCCTTAGGCAACTTATTATCTTCTGAGAGCCTCAGTTTCCTCAACACGAAAACAGGTATAATTGTTTATCTCATATTTGCTGAGAGAAATAAATGCAACAAGACATGTGCTTAAGACCTACCCAGTGCCTACTACGTGCTCAGTGAATGTGAGCTATTATGATTATGACTCCTCTGTCACAGCACCCCTCTGCTTCCTCCACAGCACTGGTTGTCACAAGCCTGAGCTCACAGTAGGTGGTCAGTAAAATAAGACTTCCTGGAAACAGGGGGATCTGATGGGACATTCTGGGTGAGGAAACCCAGAAAAGGGCAGAGGGTTGGAGGTGGTGAGGAGCAGTGAGGGACTGTACCAGGCAGGTCTGGAGGGAGTCCCGAGATGGCTGTGTCTGCCGCCAGGACAGGGAACTCACTACTCGGAAGTAGTGTATTTCATGCTTAACAGCTCTGACAGTCACAGTTCTTTGCAGAGGGACCACATTCTGCCTTTCAAGTCATAAGAAAGCCACGGGGATCCGCCCCACTGTCAGTGAGGCCCAGACTGGGTATGGCAGAAACACAAGGGCAGCCAAGTACTTTTTGGGCCTTTGAGAACCTATACCCTCTTCATACCCACTTTCCCCACCTCCAGGGCACCCTGACACTATGGCCCCAGTTGAGGCAAGTTGCCAGGTGGTGGATGTTAGCCATGGCCATATGCAATCGTACAGAGCAGAGTGGGGTGGGTCTCCCAGGACAGGACAATACTTTCCCTAGAGTTCTGTTTCTTCCTGGTGAAATGGGTGCTCTCTGCAGATATCTTTTCCTTGACTATTGTAAAGCTGGGAGACTGTAAGTCTACAAACAATCTTGCCATTGGAGAGCAAAAACTAGTTCCAAAGTTAGGTGTGCCCATACCTGGGCAGGGCCCGCCCCTCTACACTGTCAGGCAGGGAAGGACCCAGCCAGCCATCCCTTAGGGGAGCCCCTGGCATGCATCCTTTGAGCCAGGGTCCTATCACTAATCAACACCACTGTCCAAGAGTGTCCTGAGGCTGATGGAGGTGCTCAGACCTCTTGCTCTCAGGCCTGGGCAAGAACAGCTAGCCTCCACCCTCTACCCTGAATTTCCACCCTGGAGGCTGCACCTTGGCTGGCTCTTTAGGGCTTGAGAAGACACCCCAACACTGCAGAGCAGGCCTCCCAGGCCTGGCCTATCTCATCCTGATGGCATCCCCCGCATCTGCTCCAGACTGGCCAGCAGTCTCTGTCTCCCCACCCTGGCACTGGACAGCATCTCTTTTGCCAGGCTCTCCTGGGCACCCATGGGTGGAGCAGAGACCCCTCCTGACAGTCCCTGGAAGGCTGTAGATCTGCCTGCATTGAACGTGCAGCAGGGAGGCCCTGAGCGGTGACATCCTTGCACTGCCATCTGAGCACATGGGAGACCAGCAAGCTGTGGCCCAGCAAGTTTCCAGTTGATGGCAGTGGCTTCTTTTCCACCCCACTCAGGGCTCCTGGCCTGGAAAACACTGGAATCTGAGTTGGAGTCCCACTGACCACAATATACACCCAGCGACTTGGCGTTTACCACGTGATTTCAGTCACCATCTTGTCGAAGCCCCACAGCAGTGGTGAGGTAGGTGAACACTATCAGGCCCATTTCATAGATGACACAGATGGTCAGAGAGACAAATGGACTTTCCCAAGGTCACATACTACTAGATAGCAGAGCCAGGTATAGAATAAACCACATGCTCATGGGGGCAGGGTGGCACAGGCTCTGTGACCTCGGGACAGTTACTTAACCTCTCTGAACCTAAGTCTTCTCATTTGATAAATGGGGATAGCAATAGTTCCTGTCTTGTCAGGTGACTATGAAAATTAAATCAGATTATGTTATAAAACGTATTTGGCACAGTAGCAGCATAGAGATCTGCTCAGTAAATGTGAGCAATGGTTGGGATTGTTAGCCCGAGGATATTCAGATGCTGTCTCTATATGGACCACGCCTCAGCTGAAGCCCTGGTACCTCTAGGTTCCCATCTTGTCTCTGTTGGTGTCATTCATAACCTGCCAAAGTGGACGCAGGGTCACAGTGTGGAGGAGCAATGGCAGAGCAGGGCCATTGGATTCCTCTCTGGGGCTGCCTGCCTGCTGACTGGGGTCAGGGGTCTGTCTCTGGCCCGTGGTGGCTGCTGTTTTCTCACATGGATCTCAGTCATGCTTAGGGCAGAGTCAGGCGCTGGCTGAAGCTCTGCTGTGAATCTTTGATCCCTAGAGAGCAAGGCTGAGCATGGAGCAGAAAGGTCTAGGAGTGGTCCAGGTTCTCCAAACCCTTGTGAGTCCAGCCTGGTCCTCCAGGGTCTGCAAGCCCGGGTCCCCAGCATGCAGGCCGTACTCCTGGGAGCAGCTTGCTCCTTCTCTGTGTCCTGGGCAACCCTGAGATGGGTGTTGGGGGGTAGGGTTGTATATATCCAGGTAAGTTTACCTTTGGGAAGGAGAGGCAAAGTCTGCCTCAGAGTAGAAGGCAAGTAACCCTTAGCCCAGCTAGAGTGATGCCACCCCCAGGCCCTCAGTCCTATGGTCTCCTGCACATCATACTGTTAGTCCTGGCTTTGGACACTGCTCCTTGAGAGCCTGCCTCTTGTGGATGAACGCTCCCAGGACATGGTCCTGGCCACCAGCCAGGCTCAAGAGGAGTCCCAGGTTAGACCTACCCCACCTAATGTACCTACCTTGGACACCCCCTTCAGGACCCCTGCAGAGAGAAGACAAGGCAAGAGGTTCTAGGCATACTTCCTGGGACCTAGGAGGGAAGTAGGCATCTCTGTGCCTAATATGAGCTCCGGAGAAAGCTTTGGGGCTTGTGGGGCTGGATGCTCAGCATTTTTAAATTTTATTATGACTGCGTTTGTGTGTGTGTGTGTGTGTGTGTGTGTGTGTGTGTGTGCGCGTGCCCCCTGTTCCCTCCCTGGTCCCTAGTTTTTCCCCTTGGCTTTCTGTCTGGTGGCCGTGTAGGGAAGCACTGTCTGCGTGCTCTTGTCTGACACCGTTTGGGTGCTGCTGTTCCTCGTGACCCTTCGGGTCTGCTCAGGGGCCAAGGTGGGGCCTGAGCATCGGCCAGTCAGTGGAGAACGCCTCGGCTGGTTGGGGGCCAGGGAGGTCTTGAGGGGACCCACATGGGCCTCAGTACGGGGAGGCTCTGGAGACAGGCCCACCTCCTCTTCTGCGGCTGCCTCCTCGTCATCCCCCTCCTCATCATCACAGCACAAAGCATGGTAGAGCACTTTGTCACTGAACCGCACTCTCTCTCGTGTGCCTGGGGTCCGCTGGGGCAGTTGGCCCTTGACAGGGCCTGTGCTGAAGGCCTCCTCACTGGAAGAGTCTGGGGTCTCCACCTGTGGCCCATTAGGGATGGGCATGCCACCGTTCATGAGTCGGTAGTCAGAACCAGCCCCTGGTCGTGCCGGCTCAGGGCCATCCATGGAGTCTGAAGGGGTGGAGACATCCAGGAAGGAGCAGAATTCCCAGCTGTCTGAGAGGATGTCGGCTGTCATGAAGTCCAGGTGTCCCAGGTCAAAGGGGCCACCTACACCGGCCTTGTCACTGCTGGAGGTGCTGCTCACAGTGGCCGTGGTCCAGTCATCTGGCTCCAGTTCAAAGTCAAAGTCTGAGGTTAGCTTATCTATCTGGCTCACCACCTGTCCAGGGAAGGGAAGAAGCATGAGAGGCGCCCGGCTGGCACATGGCATCACTGAGGTTGAGCACGCTGCCCCCACCCTGCCACATCCCCCAGCTGATGACCCAGGATGGTGACTGGACTTGAGGCCTCAGGGTTGTTTGCCCTGTGGAGGGCCCCACCTAGACCAGGGTGAACAGAGCTTGTTCCAGACATTCCAGCTTTCCACTCCGCAGTCTCAGGTGGAAGGGGTACTCCCTTCCAGCCCTGCACGCCAACCATCCACACCCCTCCCCCCAAGAGCCTGCTGCTGTTCTGGGCGCAGCTCTGGTGCTGCAGAGTGTGAGCTTCCTCTGACTGAGAGGGGCTATTTAAAGAGGGTGGTTACCAGAGGGAGGAGGGGTGGGGGTAGAAAAGGGTAAGGGGGCAAATATATGGCGATGAAAGATGATTTGACTTTCGGTAGTGGGCACAGAGTGCAATGTACAAATCATGTATCATAGAAATGTACACTCGAAACCTATATGACCCTACTGACCAGTGTCATCCCAATAAACTTAATAAAATAATAACATTAAAATAAAAAAATAGTAAAGAGGGCCGAGAGACACCGGCAAGTCCACTGAGTGGTGAGGAGAAAAGGATATGGGGTGGCCGTGAGGAAGCATCCTGGCCTGGCCTATGCAGCTGGTCAGTGACCGTCTCCCAAGAGTCTCCACCACCTCACCCCACACATGCTGGAGCCTTCTCCCGCCTTCCTTTCCCTGGCCTCTGATGCCTGGAGATCAATCCTGGCTTGTTGGGCAATGAATAAAACAGGCATTACTTGGTAAGCAATAAAAAAACAAAAATCCATCCATCCTGGGCCCAGAGGGGCCTGTTAAATGCACTTGGGGTGGCAGGGGATACAGTTCAGCTGTGAGGTCACTGCAACCTGCCCACCTGACAAAGACTAAAGCTCTGACTCCATGCAGGCAGCCCTGCTTCAGGACATCCCCTGGCCTAGGCCGCTGTCGGCTCAGGACTCAGGGACTAAGATGGGGAGGGAAAAAGGGAAACCCAATCTGAGATATAGGGAGAGGACAGTCAAGAGGAGGAGAGAGGCTTCAGGCCAAAAACAAAAATAGTAAAACATCAAAAGCAAAGCAGAGGAACCAAGAGACACCGAGACAAAGCCTGTGCAGTGAGTCACCAAGCCCCGAGCCCTTCCGGTGCCTCTCCAGTGTTCTTACCTGGAGTCAGAGCAGTCAGCTAATTGATTACCTAATGAAGTTGCTAATCAACAAAACTTGACTGAAGACTACTGCTGTTCAGGGATGTGCTAGGTGTTTGGTGAGGACTGGGAGTGAGGAGTGCCCCGAAGCGAAAGAGAAAGCAAAGACAAAAATGAGGGGTCAGAAGAAGTCAGGGTCACTGGGATGTCTGCTTGGGTAGGGGACAGGGGGTCCCATGCAGGTGACCTGGTCAGTCAATTTCCCATTTAGATCTCAGTTTCTCAATCTGTAAATGGGGAGTTGGATGAACTTGTTGATCTCCAAGTTTCCTTTCATAGCTGACATTCTAGGAGTGACCGAAGAAGCTGTTTTGGGGTGTTGATGCCTAGGGATGCCCCATGGCCCCAGTCAAGAGTGGCTAGGCTAGAACCTGCAGAAGAACTGGGGGAGTCAAGACACCTGAGTTCCAGACCCAGACACTGCTTTGTATGTTATTGAGTAAGTCACATAACTTCTCTGGACCTCAAGTCGGCCTGATAGCCCCAGTCCTGCCAATCTCACCACAGCTTCACAAGGAACAGTGATCAGGGCAGTGAAGGGGTTCCGTGGGACATTGGTCATAAAAGTGACATTACCTCCGATCTCTGAGCACCTACTGTGTGTCATATTTTCCACCTATGAAATCATCATCTCTTGAGATCATAGATAATGGACCTGAGGCTCCAGTCACTGGGGAAGCTGAGGTTCCTGCCTTCGCTGTGCCCCTGCAAGACTGCACACTGCGGAGTGCTCCTGGGACTTCTGGGCTTGGGCAGGCAATGGGCACAGGGCCCCGCCCTCCCATCTGGCCACCTCTGCTTATGTCTTCCACTCCAATGCCTTCCCCAGAAGGGCACATTCCCCAGAAGCCCTTGCTCAACCCAAGCTACACCTGAGGGCTGGTGGGGACCCTGGCCTAGAGTAGGGGCGCTCAAACCGGAGTGTGTGTCAGCCCGCACCCCAGAGTTTCTGATTCAGTAGGTTCTGGGTAAGGTTTGAGGAGGTGTAGATCTAACAGGCTTCCCTGTGCTGCTGCTATTAGTCTGGGGACAAACTTTGAGAACCAGTGGCCTAGGGGCCTGGGATTTAAGCTGATGAAGAAATGGCACCTCCAGGACATTGCTGCTCTCAGGGGTGACCTTGCACCTCTGGGCAGCCAAGCCCTCCAATTAGACCCCTGATCAAGCTGCTGAGAGCCTGCTGCTGCGTACAGGAGGCATAGGAGCACTAGCAGGAATCTGGAGCTAAATTACTGCTGTGATGGCAGAGTTGGCTGAGACCAGGCCAGGCCTAGGAGCTGGGCTGTTAACATCTTGTGAGGAGGATCCAGGGAGCACAGGGAAGGATCCCTGAAGCCTTCAGGCCTAAACACACTCTCCCCATCCAAGAGGCCCTTACCAAACACCTTCTCAGGTGGCCTTCACATTCAGGCCCTTCCCCTTCTCCCTGAGAACACCCTCTCTGGCTCCACCCTGGGGTGTAGAGGGAAGTAACAGAGGGAAGCCTAGGTTCAAGCCTCAGGTGTGGCTTTCCCCTCTCGTCTTGTTTTCCTCCCCAGCCAAGTGGGATGATGCTCTTCTCCTCACCCTGTTGATGGGAATTTAATAGATATGAGTGTGTAGTAAACCGCAGAGCCAGCACACCCAAGACCAGAGAACCTGGACTCCAGAGCTACACCTAGGATCCTGGTATCGCGGCTTAACAGATTTATGACCTTAGTCAAGTTACTCAATGTCTCTGCGTAAGTTTCTTCAGCAACGGAGAATTCTAGCAGTATCTACTTGTTAAGTTGTTGTGATACTTTAATGACTTGATGCACAGAAAGCGTGTAGAACAATATCCACCATGTACCACTGGGCACTGACATGTGACCAGGCCCCTCGCACCAGACCCAAGAACTGATGGAATGACACTCTGATGGGGATCTTTCCTATGGCAGAATAACGGGACATGTTGGGCCTTTCAAACCCCAACACATGGGTGGCACCTATGTCCCCTCAAGTAGGACTATTTCCAGATGGAACAGAAGCAGAAGAGGTTCTAAAGGCCAAATGATTGAGGCTCACAGGCAAATCTGGCCCAGTGCATTAGGTGGGACAGGTCAAACCCACCTGATAAATGACATAAGTGAGAATCAGAAAAGGAAGTGAGGTACCAAGGGTATCTAGATTGTATGCAGAGCCTGGTCAGTCATAACTCTGCTGCCTGTCTCTGGTGCCTCATGTCATGGGGTCAATAGGAGGACAGGCGTGGGCAGGCCCCATGCAACCTGCCTTTCTCCTTTGGATATCTTGAAATCTGTGATTTCTCCTTGAGATTTAATAATCATTATGCCTGCATGTAATTTGAGATTGTCTTAGAGTACAGGGAAAATAATTATATACACAGAAAAAAAGAGAGGGGGAGAGGGAGAATGGAGAGAGAAATGAAACAAAAAAATCACAGAATCATAGTACCTCAAAGCCAGAAGGGACTGGAGACACAGTTGAGTCTACTCTTCTTACTGTGCTTACTGATAGGGAAACTGAGACCCAGAGACTGGAAGGAGCTGAGCCGAGAACAGAAGTCAGGAGTCCTGGCTCCTGGGCCTGATCCCTTAAGAACATGAATTACCTGCTCACGATGGGGCAAAAGGGAACACTTGAGAGGAAGGAAAGGGCTGAGTGCTGAGACAGAATCCTCTGTGGGTCCCAGGTCCTGACCGAACTCCTGTCCTGGGACAGCCTCAGCTCCCCGTATCTGAACCACTGTATCCACACTCTTCTAATCTTCCCACTGGCAGCAGCTTCCTATCCAGCTCCTGCTGCACCCTGTATCCGGGTAATTTCCTAATCAGCCAAGAGGACCATGGCACCCTTCTACTTCCAGCACTCCCATGCTCCCCAAACTCCTGAGCCTCTGAATACCACCCCACACCAAAGCTGGCCAACTGCCCTTTGCTTTCCACCGAACCAGGCCTGCCCCTCCCCACCCCTACACACACATCCCCCTGAGCTTACCTCTGCCTCGGGGCCTCAACTGAATGCCTCACTCCTTTTTACTCACCCCATCTCCGTTCCACCGGGAAGTCTTCCTTGGTCCCAACTTCAGGACAGGATTCCTATGAAAGGCTCTCAAAGCACCCCAAACCTTTCCTTAAAATATTATCCAGTATTTATTACTGCTACAATGTTTTGAACATAAAGGTTATAATGTGGATGTCCTCTCCCCAGAAGGAGTGTGCCCCCAATTTGATGCAGGGATTAGTACATTTTTTACAAACACAGTTGTTGAATGAGATGAGTTGAGACATCTTGATAAACTTTGCTGGGGGGTTCTTTTCTGAGAAAGTGTTTCATGATCCTGGACACCTCAAGATTGCCTGCCCAGGCCGAGCTGCCTCTCCAAGAAAAGCATTGGATGTGTTCCATAAAACCCTAGAGCCAGGACTGAGGACTGGGGCGTCCTACAACCGCTATTCCCTGTCTTCCCCCTCACCTCGGGCCCTTCACTTTTCATGACAAGTTGCTACCTTCTTTCCTCCTGCCCAGCTCCCCAGGCAGCTGGTTACATAACTAGGGATTCTGCATTATTTATGACCACTGATTATTTTTTAATTCTGTAATTACGTTATTTTGGTGTTGGGGAGGGGGAGTGAGTTGAACATGATTCATGACTCTTATCCTGCAATTTGGCCTAATTGGCCCCGGAGCTTGGTGAATCTGTCCGGAGGAGGAGGACACAAAGGGAAAAGGGATGTGAGAAAAAAAAAAAGAAGAAAAACTCCGTACAATTCTTGCTGAGCTGTGGGTGATGGAGCTGACCCACTTTGGCACAGCTCTGTGGTCCCCAGCCTCTCCTGCTCCAGCTGCTTCCTGGCTGGACCACATTTATCTCAAGCTGTATGGTGGCTTTCCAGGCTACCTCATACACAGCACCTTGCTCATGGGATGGCACAATTGCCATGTGCCTGATCCCCAAGAAAATCAGGCAGAGGGATCTCCACTGCCACTCTAGGCTGCAAAAAGGTTGGAACACCTCCATTCTCCTGAGGTGTTCAGGCTAAGGTGTGCAATTGTGCCCAACAGCCAGTGATGATGTGAGTGATACCAGTGGTCAACATAAGAACATTCTGAGCCCCATGCTGAGCATCATCTTGGGGTGGGGGAACCAAGGAGGAGGACGAGGCCAAGTACCTACTCAAGGTAAGGTCAACATCTAGGGGGGCCAAGGACAACGTTCTTTACCCTTGCCCTTGGGGGCTCCTGATTGGTAGGGAACAGGGAGAGCAGTGGGGAGGCAGATTTCAACCCAGAAACACAAGGAGATTCCTGGAGAGCATGTGGGATTCTCACTGAGGGCAAAATCCAAATTCTGTACTGTGGCCCGCAGGCTCCCTTCCTCCTAGTTCACTCCCCTCCAACTGCATCAGCTTCCTTGCTGATCCTGACCATGCCAAGCACACTCCTTCCTCAGGACCTTTGCACTGGCTGTCCCCTTGCTTGGAGGCTCATTTCCAGATATCCATTTGACTGGTACCCTCACTTCCTTTGGGTCTCTGTTCATAAGTGATCTTATTGGAGACCTGCTTCCCACCCCCATCACTATCACCTTTCCCCACCAGAAGAGGGTAGGACTGCCTACTGTAGGGCCCTGGCTCTGACCTCCCTGATCATGGCTAAGAGGCCAATGTGAGTCCAAAAGAATAAGGCCTTACATGGAGCTGAGGAACAGGTCAATGCTAGAATATTTCACCAATAATATCTAACAGATATGAATTTAGTTTTGTGCCCATCACTGTGCTAAGTACATTGTACATAATATCGCATTTAATCCTCACAACTACCCTAGAGCTGGTGAAGGAGAGGAGGCATACAATTCTGTATCCTCATTTTAGAGATGCAAAACAAAAGCACAGAGTGGTAAAGTAACTTCCCTAAGTTCACACAGCTAGGAAGGGGGTGGAGCTCAGATGTGAACCAGAGACATCTGGCTGCAGAGCCCAAGCTCAGCCCCTAGGCTGTGCTGCTTCTCCAAATTAAGATCCACAGAATTCTGAAGAGCTCAGAGAGCTTGCTGGGATTGGCCTGGCACCCTGGAGTACTGGGGAACCTAGGAGAGATGAAGGCTAATTAATTATTGACTGTCACATCCCTCTGCAGCACAATTTTTGCTTTCAAGACACTTTTACACTCCTCACCTCACTTAGTCCATAAAGCTATTTTCCCCACCCAGGGGGCATAACTTGCCCCCTATCTCCCTGGGGTGCCAGCGGCAGAGCTGCAACAGTTTTGGTATCCAGGGGGAGATATGGAAGAGGGAACTCCAAATACTTTAGGGGTGTGAGTAGGTGTTGGTCCTCCCCAATAAATCCTTGTAGGATCACTGAGGTGTGGATTGTCATCATCTCTATTTCAGAGAGAAGCAGACTGAGGCTTGGGGCCTGGGGAGCAGTGCTTTAGTGCTTCTCACCTTTCTATGAATGTCAAGCTGTATGCTCAAGAGGATGAGGAGGCTCTGCCATGATCCATGGTATCTGGGGAAGGGAGCAGCGATGGAGAAGGAGGAGGATAGCAGAGGAGATATCACTAAACCTTTCCTCCCTGTGCTGCTCCCTGGCAGTCTTGTATGTGAATCCTGGTTTCACATCTAAGTGCTTTGTCCTCCTGAGACCAGAACCCAGCTGGTGAACTCAGCTGGTGCTGCCTGGAGAGCGGAGTATGATAAGGGAACCCTCTCAACATTGGGCCTACCCATGCCCCCACTGAAAAATGCCACACAAAGTGACTGAGGAGAGCCAGGCAGACCCAGCTTTACAGTCCCTTTGGAGAACCAAGAGCCAAGATCACAGGTTCCCAGAGGCAGGGGTAGGGTGGGGTGAGGTGGGCATAACCCTTTATCCCAAACTCAGGGCCAGGTGCCCCTAAGTGGTCACCCCATTTCTGTCACATCCCTCAGAGGAATGGCATCTCCTCTTCTGCCTGGGCCTCTGGGGGCCTCACCTACCTTCCCCAATACTCTCCTTTGCCCATCACTCCATCTCCAGACCATGCCTGGGGGATGGGGGAGTTCTGAGGCCTGTCCCCCTTCCCAGCTGGGTGCCATTGGCAGCAGGCAGGTGGTGGCCTATGGGGTAGATTCTGGTTGCCATAGCAACCTGCCAAAGTCTTGGGTGGAGGCACAAGGCTTATAGAGGGTATGGGGGGAGGGGACTCATCTTTCTCTGTCCTGGCTCAGGCCTCTGGGCTGCACAGAACATGAACCTGAAGCTCTGCTGTTTAGGATATGGGAGTGGGTGTGTGTGTGCTGAGAAGGGAGGGAGGGGATATCTCAAAGATGTGCAAATAAATCCTAGTATTTCTGATCTTTTCTGCTTTACTCACTAAAGGGCACCTTCTCAGAGTATCACAGCATGAGCATAAGGTATCATCTCTAGCAGGTTCCTAACAAAATGCAAAGAGGTCGCCCATTAGCTAACCTGCTAAAGCCCTAGAGTAGGCATCAGGACCTGAGTTCTACTGAATGCCTCTGGTAGGCTCTGTGACCTTCAATAAGCCCCTATCCCTCTCTGGGCCTCAATTTCTTCAACATTAAATGAACAGGGCTGGTCTGGATGACCTGTGAGATGCCTTTAAGCTCTAGATGCGTCTGCTGGGAGTGGGGTGGGGGAGAGCAGATGCCTGCAAGATGCACAGCTGGTCAGTAGGGAGTAGGCTCTGTGCTCTATCAAAACGGACTCCCAGGCTTAGAGTCAATTCTGGTTCTTTCTGGTTGGGCCTGCTTGGCATAGATACCATGCCCCTGCTCAAGACTGAGACTCTGGACAGTTCCCATGACTCTAATGGAAACACAGAACATCTAAAATAGATGTAGGGTGTAGGGAGGGATGAAGAGGGAATGGTAGTCCTTTGGACCAATGAGGTTGAGGGAGGAGGGGTTATTCATGGGCACTGACCACCAAGCATTCCCCAGACATGCTCTGCCCAGAGCCTGGCCAGTCCAGGCAAAAGTACCAACACCTTTCTCTACCTGTAGCAACAGCCATTCATGCCCCTGAGGAAAAACTTCCTGCCTGGCAGGCTCTGTGAGGCTGACTCTGGGCAGAGGGGCTGCCTTGCCCAACCTCAATTCCTGTCCCGAATCACTCTGGACAGAGCTCCCTTCAAACACCTCCTGTTCCTTGGCTCTTGGGCCAGGCTAGAAGGTCACTTTGCCAGTCTGGACTTGGTACCCACTATCACCCCCTCTCCCCAATCTTCCTAGAACCCCCCAGCTCCCTGCACAGCTGGCTGGGAGAGCCTGAGCCCATAACTCCAATTCAATCACTCTCCCTGACATCTCTGCAGGGGCACTAGTTACAAGGAGTTGAAATTTGCCTAAAGCCCACCTGGCTGGCATAATGGTACCCAGTGGGCAAATTCAGGCCAGTGGCTCAGAACGCTGGTCATGCATTTTGGGCTTGAACACAGCCCAGGGGGCAGGGCCGAGGACATGTGTACTTCATTACCCCAGCAATGTGAGAAGCAGTAATTAAACCGGGCTCCACTTAGAAAGACAGAGAGGGACATACATCCTAGGCTCTCTAGGTGACTTTTCAGCCTTGGCAAAAAACATTCAGAACTGTGGGATGAAGATACATCCCTTTAGAGGAGATTCCTGCCCCAGTCAATGTACACAGTAACTCCAATACCCACTAGCAGCCCTCCAGACTCATTCCTACCTCAGGGTAGGAAGAGGGCTGGCTCTTATTTTTTCAGGACCTAGGGTTCTGTAATATCTTGGGGATTCTCTGAGCTGGGCCCCAAGCAGTTGGGACTGCCTCATTAGAGCCATTTACACTCTCCCAGGGCTCCTTGTGACCAGCTCAGAACCTGGGAGGCAGATGGTGAGGTCAAAGGTCAGCTTGGGCTCCAGAGGATTGTTATCCCATGAAGAGGTTATGGTGGGACTCAATCCTTACTGGTCACCTTGGCAGCTCTGAGTCCTAACCACAGAGCCATGGGCCCATGACATGCTGCTCAAGCAGTCTCTGCAACACTGACACCCATCTCCCCACCTCCCAGCTCTGGGTTATTGTGGGATTTTTAACAGAGCAGATTTGGGGAAAGGAGAAGTAGGTAGGCAGCAGAGTGGCACACGTGCACACAGCTTCAGGCGGGCATGCGCGCATGCACACGCGCACACACACACAGAAACATACATGTGAGAGTATGTTCTTGTGCCAGGCCCAGAAAAACTGGCCTCTCACTCACCTCCCTGAGCTCCTTGGCCACCTCCTTGAGCTCCCACAAGATGCCCTCGAGCTGCCCGATCACCATCTTCATGCGCTGTCGAATCCGTTCGCGCTCGCCACCACTGCTGGGGTCGTCACTGGGCTGTCCGAGGTCTGGGGTGCCCCGAATGTTCATCCTTCACCACGTGGCTGCAGGCCTGCCCATACTCCCCCCAGCCAGGCACACACTGTGTCTGCCTCCACAGAGCCCCCCTCGGCCAGGCAGAACTCCACATTTTAACGGCCCCCCAGCCCACCCTGGCCTTGGGTGGCCCTCACCCAGCCCCTGATCCCTTCCACCCCACCTCCTTTGCCTGGATGGGGAATGGGACACCCAGAGTGAGACAGAGAATGACACAAGGGGTCAAGGTGAGGGCACAAGAGGACAGGGGGAGGGGCCTTGGATCTCGGGTGGGGCCTCCAGAACTTGAAGTGCCTATAGGTGGGCTGGGCGGATGTCTGGCTGAGCCTGGACACAGAGGCAGGGGGATGACTCTGCAGACACTAAGGGTAAGAGATGCCCTTGGGATTGGGAAAAGCAGCAAGCAATTCCCTCAAAATTCTTGGGCAGTTGCAAAGGCAGAGGTCTCTGGGTGCAACTGACACCTGCAGAAGGACTGTGGCTGGGGTCTTCCAGATGTGAAGGTGGCTCCAGATGTGGGCAGCTCTGGGAAGGGAGCAGGACTGAAGGAGGGCAGCCCCCTGCAGAGAGAGCAAGCCTGGCATCAGCCCTCCCAGGCTGCAGCACCAGCCGGCAATGCTGCTGCCTCCCTCCTCTCCCAGCCTGCACCCTTTTTCGCTGGGGATTTAAAATTTTTTGTGTGTGTGTGGGGAGGGGTGGTGGAGGCAGGTGGGCTACAGCATAGCCCCTTTTTGAGAAGGAAGAGAGCCCCTGCATTAGAGGCAAAAGTCTTCAGCCCGCGATGGTGCACCGAGCCCCAGGTCCCTCCAACACCCCTCCCCAGCCAGGCCTTGCCCCGCAGCTTTACCAGAGGGTCTCTCTAATCTTCTGTCCTACCTGGTAGTGCCCCCAGGGTGCCCTCGTTCCTAGCAGACCCTTCCTTTCCCAGCCCCGCCTTCCCTCAGAGCCCCATTCGGCTCCTAGACTCACCGAGGGTGGGGGCACCGGCCTGCCTTCCGAGCAGCGTCGGGGGCCAAGCCCCAAGATGAGGTTGGGGGGCCCCCCAGGCTCCCTAGGGCGGGCTTCTCTCTCTGGACCCTTCGGCCCCGGGCCTCAGGGAGGTGCTCAGAGCCGCCCAGGGAGACATCTGGGCGGTGGGAGGGGGCGGTGCCTCCGCGCTTCCAGAAAGGGGGCAGGAAAATTTCCCCCAACCCTCGCCGGGCCCCGAGTGAGGGTCCGGCGGCTCTGAGACTCTCGGGCCACAGGTGACCCGGGCGCAGGGCGTCCGAGGCGACGCCGGGCCGGTCCCAGTACGTAAGCCGAAGTCGGAGGGATCGGAGGGCGCCGGGATCCCCTCAACCCGCGTCCGGCATTCCAGGGGCTCGGCACCGTCCGGGCTTCACTCGTTCCAGTCCAGAACGGAATGAGCCGGCACTGCTGGGGGCCCCGGACGCACTCAGCCGGGACCCAGGATGTCCGCGCACCCGCACCCGCGGCGTCGGGAGCGGCCGCGAGGGTCCGCGCAGCCCAGCCCGCTGTTCGGCCGGCGGCGAGAGCGCTGGCGCCGCTCAGCACACGGTCGGAAAGGTCCGGAAGATGCCGGGCCCCGGGGGAAGGGCGGCGTGGGCCGCGGGACTGGTCCCCGCCGGACCCGGCCACGGGCGCTCGAGGCAGGGGGCCCGGCCCGGCTGGGTTCGGCGGCCCGGGCGCGGGCGGGAGCGGCGCGGGGCGGAGGAGAGGAGGCGACACTAGCGAGAGGAGGAGGCGCGGCGAGGCGAGGCGAAGGGAGGGCGCGGAGGGCGCGCGGCGGCCGGGCCAGCGGGGAGCACGAGCCTCGCAGCCTCTGCCCAGCGGCCGCCGCCTCCCGCCCGCTCCCTCCCGGCTCGCCGCCTCGCCAGCCCCGGGCGCGGGTCGCTGTCCGCCAGGCACACAGTCGCCGCCTCGGGCTGGGCCTCCCTCCGCGGCCTCACCTTGACCTGACGGGCTGGGCTCCGCGGGCCTGGGCCCGCTCCTCAAGCGCCGTGCCTCGCCGCCCGCACCCGGCCTCCCCCGGCCCACCTCGCGCCCCCCGCCGGACTGCTCGCCCCGAGGCCGCCGGGCTCCGCGGCTCCGCGCGCTCCGCGCTAGCAGGGAAGGGCCGGCCCCGCGCGCGGGGAGGGAGCTTTTAAAGCGACACACACGCCTCCCAGTGCCGAGTGCGAGCGCAGAGCGGGGTTCTCGCCACCCCGGTGATGAGGAGATAACCATCGCTGGCGAAGCTGGAGGCGGATTAGCCTGGCTGGACTCCGCTGACCTCGGGGCACGGAGGGTCAGCAGGCTACGGACCTAGTTCCTTCCCACCTTTCCAGGCACCCCCATTGCCCCTTCCTCCACTGCAGTGCACCCCACGCTTCCCTTTGGCTAAGTTTTCCGCATCCAGACCCTTTCCTTCTCTCTATCACACGTCAAACTACCCTTTATATTGCCTTACATCAGATTAATTCAGAAAACAAAATATGGACCTTTTACTGAGCATCTACGATGTGCCAAGCTCTCTGCTGGGAGCGCTGGGAATTGGAGGCTCCGCAGATGACAGGTATGCATTAGACACAGGTCACTTCTTACCCAAACATTTATTTAGCACCTCTGTGTACCAGACCCCATGCTAGACTCTGGGGTACAGGAAGGAAAAGGTAACATTTAAGGAAGCTCACAGCTGATGGAGGAACACTCCTAAGTAAACTGAAGGGTGGTAAACACAGGACAAAGGCAAGTTCTAGAAGCAAGGATGAGAGCGCGGAGGGCGGGAGAGGCCGAGGAGCAATTGGCAGCCTCTCCGAGGAGGCAACTCTGAATCTGTGTGGCAAAGGGAAGTCGGAGTTATCCAGGTGACTGTGAGGGAGGTGAAGCTGAGCACTCCAGGCAGTGGGGAGGGGAGACAGCAGGGTTCAGATGCAAAATTGAGGAGAAGGGGAGTTTAAGCCAACTGTGGCCTTTTAGAGATACCATTTAAAAAAATTTTTTTTTCTTTATTGATATATTGGAGAGACAGAGGAAGGGAGAGGAAGAGAGAGATGGAAACACTGATGAAAGAGAACATCGATTGGCCGCCTCCTGCATGCCCACCACTGGGGATCAGGCCCACTACCAGGGCATGTGCCCTGACTGGGAATTGAACCCGTGACCTCTTGGTGCATGGGTCGACACTCAACCACTGAGCCACACCGGCAGGGCTAGAGATACCATTTTGACAGCTCTGTGGAAAATGGATTAAAGGAAGACCAGATTCCAGACAGACTCAGAGACCATGGTTAGAGCTTGGATTTTATTATGGAGCAGAGGGAACCTGGTCCTGCTTGCCCTCCCCCAAGATTCCTCTGGGGGGTTGTGGCTGATGAATCTAAAGGCTAGGCTGTAGGGAGGGGACCAGTTAGGAGGTTGAATGGAGCAGCTAGAGAAGGAGGGGCTGGGGTGGCAAGAGGGATGATGGGGAGGGAATGCTTTGATAAATAACTTAGGAGAACATGGCAGGAGTTGATTGAACTTTAAGCGGGGGCATAGGGGGTAGTCCAGGAGGACCCTGACTTATAGTATGGGAGCCTGAGTAGATGGTTGCACCACCAGTTGTGTTAGAGAACAGAAAGGAAGAACAGGTCTGAGGTGAGGAAGAGGAGTCCAGTTTGGAACAGGTGGAGATATCCTCAAGACAGGTGAGTATATGGGTCTACCCCTGGGCCTGAGTGTGTGTGTGTTTATATCATATTAAAGGGGATGAGATTGAGCAGAAAAACTGTGTAGACTAGTAACAAAAGTAGCAGGTCCAGACCAGAGCCTTGGGAAAGAGTCCTTGAATGAGATGGGTAAGAGCTGTCAGAGAGGAAGGAGACCAGTAGAGTTCAAGCAGGAGGAGAGGATTTGTTGGAATCACGTGCTCAACGGTGTTGAAGGCTGCAGGGAGCAGCTGTGAGAGAAGAAATGGAGAGTGTCCATAGGAGGCTACTGGTGATGTGGCAAGGACAGGTTGGGGGGGAGGGGAAGGAAGGTGGCAGAAGCCAAATCGATGGATGTTGAGGGCTGAGTGGTTGGTAAAGAATGGGAGTTAGTGAATATAGGTGACATTGTTTAAAGTTCAAACAGGGTTGTAGAGATCTTGAACTAGAGGTGGATGAGGATTCAAGGGAGACGGGGCTGGATGGTGACTTGAGGCTGCCCACAGGGGCCTTGAACTACGGGGACAGAAACTGTTGTGCTTCCATACCACCATCCGGCTCCAGAACCCTTCATCATGAAAAGTTGAAACTGTCCCCATTAAACATTAACTGCCCATTTTCCCTCTCCTCCCCTTGTCCCTGGCAACCACCATTTCACTTTCTGTGCCTGTGAATGTGACTACTCTAGGTACCTCATAAAGTGAAATTATACAGTCCCACTAATCACTTTCATGGAAGTTGCCTTGCTAAGGGATGGCCAATATCAAAATGGGCTGAGCCTGAAGAAATAAAATGAGTTTCTAGTCTCAGGTCCATGGAACTATTTGCCCATGTCCAAAATGGGGGAGGTATGTTTGAACCGGGAGTGTTTGGATACAGTGAACTCAGTTTGAGAGGATGGGATGTGACTGCTTAATACCGCATTGATTTTGGGTCTCATTAATAGAAGTAAGATTTACAAAAAAAAAAAAAGAGGTGATATTTTTCTCATCATCTATGTGATCAAACTATGTCTAAGAACTTATTTCACTGAGTATGTCCACAGGAGGCAGGCAGTATGGAGGCGGAGTCTACCTCCTGTGAGGAAGGGTTGGGCTTGTCAGGGCAGGTGGCTAGTGAAGAGTCTCAGGAGGGGTCTCTGATTGTACATCTCCAAGGGGCTGCCAGAGACAAGAGGGAATAAATAGGTTCTGGGTGGTTCTCAGGCTTGTCTTCCTTTGTGTTTGGAAACTGACCCATTCTCTCTTCCCCCCAACCTCCCTGCCCCAGTGCCCAGATGCCCATTCTTCAGAGCTCTGCTTAGATCCATTACCCCTCCCCCATCCCAGACAGTCTTCCCTGGTCCTTTAGTCAACAAAAAAGT